GCGCTGATCCGGTGGGCCCATAGAACCACGGATCTGGCTGTGCGCCCCATTCCGCTTCGACCCATTCCGCCCGGGGGCGCCGCCCGCCGCATCTCGCTCGGTGAGTGCCCTCTTCCTAGCTTGACCATGGCCCTTCCAGCCCCCCAGGTTCAATCCATCCGGCACCCTAATTGCATGGTCTGCCTGTGGCCCCCGACATGGTCTTCCAACCTCGCACTACCAGCCACCTTATCTATCCAGGTCATAGGGGTCTAAACCTGAGGGAGTATTTGGAAAGCTGGGAACAGCAGGCCCATCTCGAGCCTCTTGCCTTCTCATTTCTCAGACGGAGCCGTAGGCCTCGAGCCCCGGTCATTCGTAGAGCCTTGCAAAGCGCTCTCCTGGCCCTCCAGCTGGGGACTTTGTCTCGGCCTTCCCCCACCTCCTCCGGGCCGTGGTGGCGGTTGTGCCCGAGCTGGGCCACGGAGCTGCGTCTGCACCTGCCCGCAGGTCCCGTGAGCCGGCTTTGCGCGGCTTAACCCGACTTGCTCCTGCGTGTGCTCCGGAGAGCCGCGCTCCGCGGCCCTTTATCCTGTGTGATCGGGGTTCGGGTGGGGGAGAGCGCCTGCTCTTAAAGACGCCCCCCCCCCCGCGCCCCGCGCTCCTTCCCCCCTTTTCAAGCCGGTGTCGGAAAACTTTTAGTAGGATTTCAATAAGAATGAGGACACTGCGGGCTCGGGGATCTGCCTCCGGGAGGAGTAGACAGAGGTCGGGATTTGACTGGACGACGGGTACTTAGAATCCTTCCGTGGACGCCAAGCTTGAACTCCAGGTTGGCCCAACCGCGAGGAGAAAGTTCCGGCGTTCAGGGCCCCCGGGTGTGGTGGCCGTTCCTTTCCCGGAAAACACGGAAGGAAATTCGTTGTTTTGGAAAAAGCCAAGTCTCCCGGCTGGGGTTGGGAACATCTGGCGGTGAGCTCCGGGTCTACGCAGTCACATCGCACTGGGATTCGTTTATGAGTAGGCAGGATTCCAGAAACAGGTAGGGCCAGTGCGGCTGCCCAAGCGTCTGGAGAGCGTTTCCCACCCCGGATGAAAAACTGCAAACAAATTGAGTCTAACGAAACGGATTTACTAATTATGCGGCTGAGCCCGCTGGGCGCTGTGTAAACTGTGGCTTGTTCATGGAGGAGGCCGTTTCAGCAGGACCCCTGTGCGAAGCTGCTCGGCTTGAATATAGGGTTAAAACCTGGTAAGGAGATACAGGATCTCCGAGTTGCCTCTATGCCAGCCGCTGGGACATCTAGGACGTTGGGTCCCGTCTTTATGATTCAAAGGGACCAAGAAGACGGGTGGGACGGAAGAGCCAGCGTGGAGGCCAGAAGAGAGGGAAACATTATTTTTGGAGGGGCTGGAGGTGAAGTCCAAAGAACAAGAGGAGCTGTTGGAGCTCTAGTCCCCTTATTGGAGAACCCCTCCTGGAGGGATAGGTGTGACCTGAGCAGGCCTTGCCCTAGAGGGGACTTCTGAACCCCTCTGGCTAAAGAGGCCCCCACTTCCTTCTGGGTACCCTTCAAGGCACATTGCCAGTGTGGAGCTGGGAGGTCGCTATGTTGCAAATTAAATATTTATATGGAAAGCAGCCCCTAAACAAATGGATTTCTTTGACCCTCCTCCCCTTCCACTCCCTTCCACCCCCTTCCACTGTCAGCGAATTAGGTGCCCATGGGAAATGGCCAAAAGAATTAGGTTACAAAGAGGGCAAACTTATGGTCCCAGAGGGAACAGCCTTTGATAAGCAAAGTTTAAACAAAGGGCTCAGAAGATAGGGCTATGTGGGGCTGGTAAAACCTAAGTTGCAGAGAGACAGCCGGGGCCAGTGAGGCCCTATAGAACCAGACTTTGGATCTCTGAGTCCCCACATCCCCGACAGGAGCATCTCGGGCTGCACGGACGCACTCTGTCAGGGCAACTTAGGTCATGTGAAAAGGCGTCAGGAAATTCAATTTTGTCTTTGCACTTTCTCAGTCCTTCGTGAAATCTTGCTACCACGTAACAGCTGAGTGCGATTTAAAGGTGTTTGCGACAAATCTTGAGAACGAACAAAAAGAAAAAAGAAAAAGAGAGACCCCGAAGTCCGAGGCCGTGAACGGAAATATATCTGCCCTCCTCAGGCAGTGGTTGGCCCCACGACCCTTACGGATTGTGGGGCTTCCTTCTCCCTCCCGAGACGTTTGGGCAGAAGTGATAGGATGGTCTCCGCAGCCAAGTGGGCGAGGCGCCTGGCTGGTGTCTGTCTGTCTGTCTGGCACAGAAATACACGCCCGAGCAGCCCCCTTTTATTGGTCAGCTGGGCGCCCTACTGCCTGGCGCCCCTCTTTTCTCTCCCAGACGATTTCGTTCCTGCGGGAGAACACAAGAGTCCCGCGTCCAACGCAGGCGCTCCGATTAACGCCTCGGCCAAGACGGCTCCCTGCTTGCCTTTCGAGGAGGGCAACCGCAGAGCCTCAGGAAACCTGGAGGGGCTCCCTTTCTCTCCCCCTTCCCCTTTTTTCTCTCTAGGTCCGGATTGCGGGAAGGGAGGCTGGTGCGGATCTCCTGGGACCCCCGTTCAAGCATTGCCTAACTGCCCTGCTCAGTTCCTCTGTGCGATTTTCTGAGCCGCCTAGCAGGGTAATTAAATCCTCGCCTGCGCTCCGTTCTGCGCTAGACTGGCGGGCAGCCGCTTCGGCAGGGGGCCCGGCAAGGGGCCCGGCAGGGCCGGTGACGTCCACTCTTGCGGTGGCCAGGACGCTGCCCCGGAGGGGCTTCAGGTTGCCCCGGAGGAGCCTGAAGTCGAGCTCGCGGTGATGACACTGCGGACCCACCCAACCGAGGGATAATTTGAACCGCGCCTTCGGGAGGCAAAGGCGAGTTACCCACTTTTCAGAGCGCTCCGAGCGGCCACATCCCTGCGAACCGAGGCGCCGATCGTCGCCCAGAGGAAAGCTTCTGTTCCGCTCCTGCGTTAATAAACCCCGGGCCGGCCGGCTGCCTCTCACGCGGGGTCCTGGGATTCGAGCTCGAGTGGGGCAGCCTTGCCTGACACGGGCGATTGTCCCTGGGGTTGTATTGTCTTTAAGAAACTCCGCCAGGCTCCAGGGAAACTCGAGGCTTTGTGGCAATCTCATTTTACGCGTTGATGAAGAATCGTAAGCTAAAAACAAGGAGGAGAGACAGACATACGGAGAGACAGTGGGTCCAGGTCATACCTTACGCCTTGCTGGGGGTGCGAACTAGGAGACACGGAGGCCACTCACCTGCCCGACGAGGCCGAGAGGCCCAGTGCCTGCAGCCTCGCTCTCCTGCTCCCGGCCCGAGCGCGCCTTACCCAGCGGGCGCTGGCCTCCTCTCCCGCGGAGCGTAGTTCCGAGAAGCCTGGGCCCCGCGCGCGCCACAGTGGAGCGGGGCGGAAGACGCAACGGCGGGTCAGGGCAGGCGGGTGCCTTACGGCCGGGGCGCACCAGTTCCCAGACGGATGGAGTTCTGCGCCCCTGCCCAGCGCCTTTACCTGCGTCACGGCGAGACGCAGAGGCAGGAGGAATCCTCGGTTCTGGCCTGCGACCCCTTGGCGCTGCCCAGAGCTAGCCTGAGAGAGGAAGACAGAGGCACGCGCATGGATCTGGGCCGGGCCGAGCGCCCCCGGAGCCGAGGGGACCGAGGGCTTTCCTCCCTCTCGGATTATTAAAAAGTTCATTTCCTGGCGAATCGGGTGACGTCAGGGGCCCGGCGTCGCGGTGGCGGGGCCGCCGGGCCGAAGAAGCAGCCTCCAGTTACCCAATTACCGACTGTCAATCCCGCCGCCCCTCCCCCAACCCTCCCGGGGGTGGCCCAGACCCGCCTTCCCCCCAGCCCCGGGTCTGACTGGGATCCCTCTGGGCATCTACCCCGAGAACCGTGGACCCGGTGAGGGGAGAGGGGCAGGAGGACATTGATTACTCCCCATTAACCCCACACCTAAGTCCCCCCAAATTTCTTTGTTCCCGACCACCCCTCCTCGGCCATAGGCTCCCTTCGAGGCTTGTTCTCCTCTGTACAATGGGAGAGAGTCAGGAGGTTTGTGCACCAGGCCCACTCGACCCACAGAGCTGGATCTCTGGCCTGGAGGTGTGTGAGGAGCAATCCCAGGTGACTTAGGGGACAGAGTTCTCCCTCTGCCCCGGGACCGCCTTAGGGAACCCCGGGAGGAAAAAAATGCCTTCTACTGCCCGGAGGCGTCTCCTTCGAGCAGGAGCCGGAGCCGGCGCCGGCGCCAGTCCGGGTCACCAAGGCCTCGCCTCAGGCAGTTCGGCCTGTTGGTCTTCGAACGCCACGCCCGGGAAGGGGACGCCCCTTCCCCTTCTCTGGAGCCGCAGACTGGACCACCTCTACTGGGGTCAAACACAGTTCTAAGTGGCCTCGTATCTGAGGCCCCGGCGCCCACTGGGACCCCACAATTCAGCCCCTCGCAGCTCCTGATGTCCCGAGCCGTCCTTCCTCCACTCCCCACCCCCCGAGCCGAGTTGGGGGAGGGAACGGTCTGGGTAGGTATTTGGACTTCGACTGGCCGCGTTCGGTGGTAAAGGAGGTGGGATCCGAGAAAGTGGAAGGGCTGGAGTCCCGGGGAGGAGGACACCTGGACACCCAGAGCGTGCGTGGCAAGGGGTCCTGGGGAGGGGGCCCCAGTTGGAGGTTAGTTACTGGAGGAGGTCCCAGAGGTTAGGGGGATCCGGGAGTGTCCCTACGAAGGGCTCAGCAGTCAGCCTTCGAGGTGAGGGTGGAGGGGGTGATAGCAGGGGCCGCGGGGAGGGCCCTAGGAGGGCACCTAAGGGAGGAGGGGGCCCGCTGGCGGGTCAGTCAGCGAGTCCGGCAGGCCGGAGTTGGAGGCACAGCCAATGGGGGGCGGAGGCTGGGCAGCGTGCGGAGATGATTGGCTGGCGCGGGCTTCTTAGGCGTGCGCGGCCTCAGCTTCATGTCTGTGCTGGAGTCGGGAGCTGGCGCCAGGGCGGTCGGAGGATGCAGAGGGGCCGGAGCCAGGCGGGCCTGAGGCCGAGGCGCTCGCTGTCCCCCGCTCCTACCCAGTGAGCCACACAAGCTGCCTGACGCGCTGACCCTAGGCTCCTCACTCCCGGGGCCCCCGCAGTGCTGTCCCCCCATCTGAGGCCGTGTCTCTCTCCGTGGCTCTGCGTGTGTAAGTTTGGGGTTCGAGAACTGGCCGAGAGTGGGGGGCGCGCCAGGCTCTGAGAGGTCTCTGATGGGGTTCAAGGCCGAGGCGCTGCTGGGGTTGACTGCTTTGGTGTGCCTAGGTAGAGGTGCAGATTGTGCTCCCTGGGAGTGTGCGCCTGTGGCTGGTTCTCAGACGCGGGGAGGGGGGGGGGGGGGGAAGGGCTCCCCTGCTGGGTGCGGGGGAGGGGACAAAGTCAATATGTGTATCTGGCGCCAAGTATAGTTCTGTGCGTATCGCTAGGATCATGTGCCCTAGAGGATCCCCGGGCGCCTCCCTCCAACTTTTAGTCTGTTTCTGTGTTTGTGTAGCGAGAAGGTGGAGGTTCAGTGTGAGTTTCTGGCTAAAGTGCGCTGTTCTTGCATTTGGAGGGTAACTAGTGTAGGGTCTCGTCCTCGTGTGTGACCCCGTGTGTGCACAGGTGTGTGACCCTGGGACCAGAGGGTCACCATGTGAGCGTGCGTGGTTGAATCCTCTCCTCCACCTTCCTTTCGTTATAAGTTTTAAGTTTTACTCCCACTCGCGGCTGAACTCCGCAGGGTAAGGAGCGCACGGGACGCCGCGTGGCCGAACTTTGGGATCTCGGGCTGTGGCTGCGTTCCTCATGCCCCCTTCTATCGCGCAGGACCTCTACTGCCTCCTCCCCGAACCCGAACCTCCGTCGCTGGCTATGGAGGTGGCGCCCGAGCAGCCGCGCTGGATGGCTCACCCCGCAGTGCTGAATGCGCAGCACCCCGACTCGCACCACCCGGGCTTGGCACACAACTACATGGAGCCTGCGCAGCTGCTGCCTCCCGACGAAGTGGACGTCTTTTTCAACCACCTCGATTCGCAGGGCAACCCCTACTACGCCAACCCGGCCCACGCACGGGCGCGCGTCTCCTACAGCCCTGCTCACGGTAAGCCCAGGGCCAGTGGGTAACTGGGAGCTGTGGCGCCGAGCGCCAGGCGCGGAAGGGGAGGAGGGCCCGTCTTTCTGTTTCCCGGATATGGGATCCACAGGAATCGGGGCGGGAAAGGTGGGGGTAGTGGCCTCTTAAGGAGCCTCTGGGTCCCACAGGGTTTTTGCCCATTTCCACCTGGCTCGTGGGGGTTCTCTCTAGGCCTTGTTTACTAGGGTTCGGTCTTTGCCGCTTGTCTTTCGGCTCCGGACGGACATTCCTGATTTGCGGGTTGTTACATTTCTGGTTTTCTTTGGGGACGGGGTTAACTGCTGGTGGTTTTGTGAATGGTGGTCCTGTGTATACATGTCCTGGTTGGGCCAGCCCCGCTGTATCCTAACCCCTCTCCTTTTTCCCTCAGCCCGCCTGACCGGCGGCCAGATGTGCCGTCCACACTTGTTGCATAGCCCGGGGTTGCCCTGGCTGGACGGGGGTAAAGCAGCCCTCTCCGCGGCTGCAGCACACCACCACAACCCCTGGACCGTGAGCCCCTTCTCCAAGACACCGCTGCACCCCTCAGCTGCTGGAGGCCCTGGAGGCCACCTCTCCGTGTACCCAGGGGCGGGGAGTGGGAGCGGGGGAAGCAGTGGGGGCTCTGTCGCCTCCCTTACCCCCACTGCAGCCCACTCTGGCTCCCACCTATTTGGCTTCCCACCTACACCGCCCAAGGAAGTGTCTCCTGACCCCAGCACCACCGGGGCTGCCTCCCCAGCCTCCTCTTCCGCAGGGGGTAGTGCAGCCCGGGGGGAGGACAAGGATGGTGTCAAGTACCAAGTTTCACTGGCGGAGAGCATGAAGATAGAAAGTGGCAGTCCCCTGCGCCCAGGCCTGGCTGCTGTGGGTACCCAGCCTGCCACACACCACCCCATTCCCACCTACCCCTCGTATGTGCCGGCTGCCACCCATGACTACAGCAGCGGACTTTTCCATCCTGGAGGCTTCCTAGGTGGCCCTGCCTCCAGCTTCACCCCTAAGCAGCGCAGCAAAGCACGCTCCTGCTCAGGTAAAAGCAGGTACTAGGGACCTAGTGAAAGTAGGGATGGTTTGTGCTTTGCTGGGTGGTGGTTAGGGTGGGGTGATGTAAGCTGTGATATGGGAGAGGGGGCAGTGTCAGTCTCCCAGATCTGGGGATGGGTAATGTCCCTCTCTAAGACACTCCAAGAGATATCTGAGGCCCCAGGCATCTTAAGTGTTCCGGGTGGCCCCCAAATGTCACTTTCCTTCCCCAGTCCTTACCTGACCCTCCACCACTGGCCACTGCCAGACCAGACCACAGAAGGGGTATTCCCTCTTTCCTTCCCTGAATCTTAAGTGAAAATTCTGTGTGAGAGAATGCAATATGCAGGGGGAAGCAGAGGCCATGTTTAAGTGTGTGTACGTGTGTTGTGAGCATGTGTACATGCTGTGGGTACACTCCAAAGGCTCCAGACCCTTAAGGAATCTGGTTCTCCAACTCAATCAGTCCAATCTTGGGATTTCGATGATTCCCAATCTCCTTGGGTGATTTCCCCAAAGCAAAATTCTAGGGCCTGTTCATGCTCCCCAACTGTGTCCTTCACATTTCCTACCTGAAGGCTGGAGTGAGGCGATGAAACTGTAGGTCCCTCTCTGTCCCTTTTTGCAAGAGGAGCTGGCTTGGGCCGAGTTGGATTTGTCCAAGAATCTGGCCATCATAGAGCAGAAACCGTGGCTAGTGTGATGCCTTCTTTCCCATTCTTTTAAGCTGGAGAAAGGGAGATTTTAAAAACTTACTTCCAAGTCCAGGACACCCCTTTTCTTGCTCATATACCATATTTTGCCATGTCTAATGCTCACTTCCTTGCTCAAATTTTTGAGGGGAAAATAAGAATGCGCATTATATATGGGTAGTACCTGAAATACCTTTTCTCTGTTCTTGTGTTTTGTAATTATTTGTTACATAAAATTTTTTGGACCATAATATATTCAAAAGTAAATGCCAAAATTCCTTTGCAATACAAAAAACAAGCATCTAAATATAAATAAATAAATAAGTTTAAAAATAAAAACGAAAGATTTTTTTTCTGGCCAAAAACATGGGTGCTCATTATACATGAGAGTGCATTATACACAGCAAAATATGGTATATTGACAATTTAGTTTAAACTAAATGTGGGAAAATTTCCTGGGTAATTCGATGTTAGCAGCTACTCTGCTTGATGGCTGAAACTGCCACTTGCAGCCACGTAAGTCTCACCTCAGAGTCTCTATTCTGCTCAGACCGGCTAGCTTGCATTTAATTAGTCCTTTCTCCCAAGTTTGTTTTATGTTCCATTTGAATTCCAGATGGTCTTTTAACAAAAAACAAACAAACAAAAAGCCAAAAACAGCCAAAAAAAAAAAAAAAAAAAGGTCACCTAGCCTAAAAACAAAAGGACTTATTATTTGTTTTATTTTAAAGAACAACTTCGATCTGAGTCCAGGACTGAAATGTAGGGCCTCAGTTGAAGAAGGGATTTGGGGGGGAAAGGAGGACGTTCCTTACCCTTGACTGAGAGCAGAAAGGCAGGGCAAAGGTTGAGGGCATAGATGTGGAGCAGAGACCCTGTAGATGGCGGATGTATTTGGGGGCGGCGGAGCCGGGGGGGGGGGGCGGCGGGGGGGCGGAATAGGAAATAGACAAAAGAGAAAAAGAAAGGGGGATGGAGTAGTCCCCAGCCCAGGCAGGTCAAGCTGGGTGATTCATGTCAACCCTCCCATTGACCAGTTGTTGTAAATACCCTCTCCTTTTTGCTCATTTGGAGAAACCCTGGGGCCCTAGCCGAGCTCCTCCCTCTGTCCCTGTTTCCCTTTCTTTCAAGAGAATTTTGAAGAGGGAGATTTGGCTTAAAACTACTGTGAACCCCTCTCTTGTGGGTCTCTCTTCCGGTCCAGGCTGGAACTAAAAGTCGCCTCTCTTGAAGCAGTCTGGCAGAAACGATCAGAGTCCGCTTGCCCACCCAACTCTCTTCTGTGACATTGTTGGTTAAACAGGCTTGGTGTCTATCCCTGTCCCCTTTCAGAAGGCCGGGAGTGTGTTAACTGTGGGGCCACAGCCACTCCTCTCTGGCGACGAGATGGCACCGGCCACTACCTGTGCAATGCCTGCGGGCTCTACCACAAGATGAATGGGCAGAACCGACCGCTTATCAAGCCCAAACGGAGACTGGTAGGCAGTGGGTGTGAGGCTGGTAGCAGGTGGCTGGGGAGAAGACCAGTGGGAGGCACTTGGGGTACGCTGGAGCTGACAGTTAATTAAAAAATAACAACAGAACCCTTCAAATGCAGATGATTTTCCACTTGCAATCTTTTATCATTTAAATATGTTGGATGTCAGGTCGCTCTTATTGGCCAGATTTTTTTCAGGCCAGATTTCCTTCTCTGCAGCCCATCAGGACCCTCACCCCATCCTGCTCAAGGATACTGAAAGTTGAGTGTCCAAGGGCTCAGCTTCCATTCCCTAGCCTCTGTTTAACTTAAAAAAAAAAAAAATAGAGCCATGAAGTAATTTTCCTTGTGGCTTATGGTAGCTCTCTCACAATCTCTTCATGCCTATTTAAATAAAACACACCAACCACCAAAAAAAACCTGCCTTTTATTATTTTTCCATGGAGACACCTATACTGTGTATTTTCATTTGAGTGATTTAAAAAAAAAAATGCCCTTTCGGATCTCCTGCCGGAGTTTCCTATCCGGACATCTGCAGCCTGAAGATAAGGAAACTCTGCGTATCTGTTTCCGGACTCCGCTAGTTTTTAGAGGCTCTCCTCAGCTCAGTCCTGCCTCTTGCTGGGCTGTTTTGAAATTTCTAATACCCTCGACTTTGCAAATAATGTGTAAAATGCTAAGAATAATAAATATATTTTTTCAGGGCGAAGTGATTTATGAGGCTTAAATCACTCGCCGCTTTGGGGGCCCCCTTTTTTTCCCCGGCAGGGAGGGCGGGGCGAGGACCCGGGTGGTGTTGGCCCCTGAGTCAGAATTCCAGCTTCAGGCTGCTTACTCACCCTCACCACTCCCCGGCTGGGAGGCTGCAGTCCATAGGCTGCAGTCCCTCTGCGGCCAGGCTCCAGCCTGGAGCCATTCCAGCCTCTGCTGGCCTCCGTCCCCCACAACCCATCTTGCTGCCGGTGGTTCTCTGGTAAGTGCTGGGGGAATGCATTCTGTGACTTGGGTTAGCACTGGTTTACCTTAGAGGAGAGATCTACTTTTCTGAATAAAGACCCTCTTATGTTCTCTTATAAGCAGCTCACTCCCTTCTTCAGGAACCAGACACTCATTTCCAGACCACCTCTGTTCTGCATTCCTTGAGGAGCTGGGGGCAGTTAAAACTCTAAGGTTTGGGGTAAAAAGGACTGAATAGATAGACCGATATTGTCCAATAAACCTACAATGATGGAAATGTTATAGATCTGCACGGTCCACTGTGGTAACATCCAGCCCATGTTGTGACTGTTGACTCCTTGAAATGTAGCCAGTGCAATTGAAGAAACAGGATTTCTACTTTTATGAAATAGTAGTTAAATTTAATCGAAGTAGTCATATGTGGCAAGTAGCTACCATGTTGGGCAGCTCAGCTTGAGCAAGACTCCCTGAACATTTTACATCCCCACCCTGGGCAGCCACAGGGTCCCCTTTCCCTGGCTTCAGGCAGGACACTGACACTCTCAGAATTATGGATTTTGAGGGGAGTCCTGTGGGAGGAGACAGAGAAGCAGCTCCAGACCCAGGGGCTCCACAAGGACCAAACCAGCCTTCTAAACTAAAGAGCCCTTCTCAGGTGCTCAGTTTCCCCATTTATAGAGTTAGATTGTTTCGCAAATCCAGGAGGTGGTTGATTTTTCCTTCCATTTCTTGCGACCCTGTTGATTGTGACAGCAGGCTTCTGAGAGTTCTTTATTCTAAAGTTCTGTGATTGTCTAGATCTCAAATTCTAAATGTCCATGTCCTGGAGATGCCTGGATTTCCTGTAAGGATTTGCACTCCTTGGCTAAGTTGGTGGGGGCAGGGTGGGGGTGGGACAAGGGTCTGGGAGGCTGGTAGAGGTGGGGCGTGGGAGCACAGACTGCTGATGCTGCCCCTCCCCTCCCAGTCAGCTGCCAGGAGAGCGGGCACCTGTTGTGCAAATTGTCAGACAACCACCACCACCTTATGGCGCAGAAACGCCAATGGGGACCCTGTCTGCAATGCCTGTGGCCTCTACTACAAGCTGCACAATGTAAGTCCGCCCACTCTACTTGCCCCATCCCTCCCCAGGGATCTCTGCTATTTGTGCTGCCAGGCAAGAGGTCTCAGCTGCCCTTCAGCTTGGCTTGGCTTGGGAAAGAGTTCCCATAAGAGGGCAGGTTGGCTGGAGGTGTGTTCCTCACAGCTGGGCCCAACTAGTATCTGTTTAAAATAAAAGTGTGGGGAGTGTATTTTGGTTGTGTTGATGGGGGGCAGTGCCCTGCAGGGTCCACAGGACAGCCCCACACAGTGATAAGTACCCTTTCTGAAACTGGCTATATTTGTGACAGCACTACAGTGGGCATTTGGTGGTGGGGTCCCCAGCCCTGACCTGCTTCTGCCCCCAGCTGAAGCAGAGGGTGGGGATCTTGCTTTGGGAAGGGAACTTGATTCCTTGAAGGCTTTGTGGTTGGCCCTAGGTGAATAGGCCACTGACCATGAAGAAGGAAGGGATCCAGACTCGAAACCGGAAGATGTCCAACAAGTCCAAGAAGACTAAGAAGGGGGCAGAGTGCTTTGAGGAGCTGTCCAAGTGTATGCAGGAGAAGGCGTCCCCCTTTAGTGCCGCTGCCCTGGCTGGACATATGGCACCTGTGGGCCACCTCCCACCCTTCAGCCACTCTGGACACATCTTGCCTACCCCAACTCCCATCCATCCCTCCTCCAGCCTCTCTTTTGGGCACCCCCACCCATCCAGCATGGTGACCGCCATGGGCTAAGGACAGCCCTCCATGAATGGACAGAGGGATGCAGAGGACGGTGGCCTGCAACTCAAGGCTGGGTGCTCCCAGGATGGGTGGACCAAAACCTGACCTATCAATCCTTTCCCAAAGACTGATGCCTCTCTTGTCAGCCCAGACTGAGCTTGTTGCCTCACCTGTGGGTGCTCTGCTCAGCAGTCACCAGTCACTAAGAAGATTCTCACTGGGGCTGAGAAGTCAACTCAGCCGAGCTGCTACCCAGGTGGGGTTTCCATCATGGTCAATTGGAGAGCAGAAAGGACATCTTTACTAAGAAAGAAGGAGGGGGTAGGAAACAAACAAAGGAAATCAGTTCTAGAAGGAAAAGAGAGTAGGCAAAAATAATTTATTTGGCTCTTGTTTCTAACAAGGGCTGGGGAACTTAGTAGGTTTGAGCTGCCCCTGGCTTTCCTGGTCTTCCTCAGCTTGGCCTTTTGTCCACTTGCCTGGACTCTGAGGGCAGGTCTGGGAGGGACTTAAGCCTGCACCTTCTCCTCAGGCTTCCCTCTCTGAAATGCTGAGTTCCAGACTGGGCCCAGCCAGTCTAGAAGGGGTCATGGCCTACCAGAGGCTGAGCCAGTGTGTGCCCTGCTGATGGGCCCTGGAGGGCAGAGACAATCACAGGCGGTCCTACATGGATTCCCAGGCCAGGGCTGGGTCACAGGAAGGAAACAACATTTTCTTGAGAGGGGAAATGTCTCCCAGCAGGCTCCCCTGGCGCTGAGGCTGAAACTGGTATGACCTGTGTCTCCTTAACACCAGAACCACAGCCTGCCTCCTCTGGCCACGTGGACCCCTGTACATACACCCTTTTTCTGCTAACCTCTTGATCCCCTTCCCTCCCACTATGAGATAAAAGAAAAGAATATTTTTGAAGAACTGCATAAGCGTAACTCACTGATGAGTTAGTTATTTTAATTTTAAACTCTTTTTGGGTCCAGTCAATTAAACTTTGCTACAGAAGACTGTTGTGGAAAGGAATAAAACCTACAAATCAAGGCTATAGCTTTGCAGTTATTTTTGGAAAAGTTTTTGGATCCCACAGTCCTAGAATGGGGAGTGGGGGCCAGAGGCAGGGCCTAGGCTTCTGCGGTCTGGTCTGGTAGGTGGCAAAGGCAGGAGGAGTAAAGGCTGAGTCAGAGACAGGACTGAAGGAGAGGCCGTGACCCTGCTGGAGTCCAGAAGACCTGGATTCTGCTCTGCTTTGCCGTAGCTGTCTGGATCCTTCCCAAGGTACAGCTGTACATAATCTTGTCTGAGCTTAGATTCTGTGTGCAGTGGTGGTGGGGTTTGGTGGCTGGAGAAGGCTGTGCCCAGGAAGAGAATTGTGCTGATGTAGTTGACCAAGTGCAATAAGGGCTAGCGATTGCTGCCAGAGGCACTACCACCAGAAGTAACTTATTTTGTACTAGCATCCACATAAGAAGAATCGGCAGTATTTTCTGTTTTTATGTTTTGTTTGGCTTGTTTTATTTTGGATTAGTGAACTAAGTTATTATTAATTATGTACAACATTTATATATTGTCTGTAAAAATTGTATGCTATCCTCCTATTCCTTTAAAGTGAATACTGTTAATAATAAAATACTTTTTTGTGAATACTTCTGTCCTATCTTATGGACTCCTGGGGTAATTGAGGCTCAGGTGCAGAGCTTAGCAGTCGAAGTAAACTGCTTCTACAGACCAGTGATTTGGAGGGAAGGACTCCTGGAATAGGGGATGGGTCTTTGACTGGCTGGGACCTGAGGTCCTGATACTTCTGAATTGCTTCCATCTGCATTTTCACGTTATTACCTAACTGGGTGTCCTGGTGACTGGGTGGATACTGGGGAGGCTCAGCGAGGCTATGGTTTCTCCGACCTTTGGTCCACACGCTGACTTTTTTTTTTTTTGAGGTCTCAACTGATGCTCTTGCAGAATCCAGGAAGAACTGACCCGATGTGCACTTCCTCTCAAGTACTGATCAGCTTTTGTTGCTGAGCTATCTGGTTGCCAATATTCCCATTCATTGACAAACCTGATCACTAATGTCTTTGATTACTGTTGTCATTGATCTCTGCCCTCTTTAATCAATGATTTTGGTCACCAGAGAGAGCCATTACTGATATACAGTGATCAATGACAATGGCAATGGTTCAATGACAATCACCTTGTGATCGTAGACATTGGTTTGCTAACAACTGATCACCAATACTTATTTACCAATACTTTATGAATACTTTGTCAGTGATTCAATGACACTTACCTTGTGATTGTAGATGTTTAGTTACTAACAACTGCTCACCAATACTTAATTACCAATATTTTATCAATATCTCTGATGTTGTGTCTGATCACTAACATCCACAAACTGCGATCACCAGTGTCTCCAGTGAATAACTTTGCTCACTAGTAATGTGATCATAAATATCTCTTATTACCGTTTCTGATCAGCATATCTGTTCACCACTATTTTTATTCAATGTATCTGTTTGCCAATATCTCTAATGACCACTGCCTATTTCCCCAGTATTTTTATCTACCATGTCTGTGATCACCAGTGTGCCTTAACACCTAAGTTCCTAAATATGAATGTGTTCATCACTCTGTCACTAATGTTCTAAGTCATCAAGACGTATGATCACCAATGTCATTGATCAGTGTTTTTCTAATCAGTGATAGATCACTCATATGTGCCTCCAACATCTCTGATCATACTATTTCTCATCACCAATGTCTCTTGGATGATGTTTTGTCATTTATCTTCTGTACTAACATCTCTAACCAACAATATCCCTGGTCATAGAATCCTCTTACTATCAAATTTCCTGACTATCAATGTGGTCAGTAGTGACTCTGGTTACGAATACCCTTGACTGGTCAATGCTGATCTCCAGACTCTCTAGTGTCTGACATGAATGATTGTTGAATCTCTTTATCTTCCAAGTCCCTGAGGACCAATATTCCTTATACCCCTGGTCACCTGTAGTACTGATCACCAAGCTCACAGGTCATTGGTATCACTAGTTACCTGTGTCTCTGATTACCAAATTCTCCAGTCATTCATGTTTTTGATCCCCAGTAGACCACATATCACCAAGATCTCTGGATGTCTCCAGTCATTGAATACCCTTGGTCATCAAGGACATGAACACCAAATGCTTTCATCCTAGTAGTCCTGTTGCCCACACCCTTGGTCCTTCATGTTCCTACTTAATGATTGACATAGCCAATCAACAATCATTTTGATGACCAAGATGTCTGAACACTGCCTTGATCCTTCATGTATGACCAGTACCCTCTCTGATTTCTCCAACACTCCACCATCTCTAATTACAAATCATTCTAATTGTACATCTCTGATCAATAGCTCCACTTTTTAAAAAAGATTTTATTTATTTATTTATTTATTTATTTATTTATTTATTTATTTTTAGAGGGAGAGGAAAGGAGGGAGAAAGAGGGAAAGAAATGTTAATGTGAGAGAGAAATATCAATCAGCTGTTTCTCATACATGCCCTCTCTGGGGACCAAACCTGTAACCCAGGCACATGCCCTGACTGGAAATTGAACTGCTGACCCTTCGCTCTGTGGGATGATGCCCTACAAACTACGTCACACAGGTCATGGCAATGACTCTTTTTGACCCTAAGCATCCTCATGTCTGGTCCCTGGATTGCTCATGACTTGTATTTCTAATTGCCAACTTCCTTGTTCCTTGACAACCCTGGTGCACAATGGTCCAGGAGGTTTTCCTTTCATTCTTTCCATCCCAGACTGCCAGTGCTGGCAGGACACTTGCTTGTGGCTGTAGAAGCACTGGTCCTATGAAGGCCAACATGCCTTCTGTGAAGCCCCAGGTGCCCCAGCCTGCAGGGCAGAGATGGAGGAGGATCACTGGCACTCTGACTCAGGACACCTCTGCTGCTGCTGGTGTGCCACCACTACCTTCCCCACATTCTTTATCTGTGGAAGAGAAACATAGAGCCTACAGGAACCCATCTGGGTGTGAAGCTGGGTGGGCACTTTGCCTGATCATCTGAATGCCTGGGTCCTCTCAAGCCTCTTAGAAACTTTCTTTCTAGCCCTTCCCCAGCTCAGAACATTTTGGCCTCTGCTCTTGCCACCTATAGTTGCAGTGAGAGCAGGGATGGTCCTGCTTTCCTGTGTCCCAGCTTATAAGTGTAGGATTTTATGTGTATATTATACAGTTAAGTGTACACATGCCTGTTGAATACCTCCCACCCAAGAGGCACTGTTTTAGGTGGGGGCTACACTAGTTAATAAAACAAAACCCTTGAGGAGCTTACATTCTAAGCAACAAGCACAGTAACAACTCTACCTGGCCTCTGACAAACTGTCCTACTTGCCTGGCCTAAAATCTGCAGCCCAGAGTCAAAATGTCCAGAGCTGAGGGTCTACAACCTGCATCCCTGAATTCAGAAACCACAACCTAAAGCACAGAGCACAAAGCTCATACCCAAAGGCCATAACTTAGGGTTTGGAGCTCAGAATCTAGAACTTCCATCCAAGAACTCTGAGACTGGGGCCCAAAACATTGATCTCAGAATGTAGAATCCAGAACTGGCACTCTGAGAATGGACACCCAGACCCACAACTTAGAGCTTGGAGCTCAGAACCCAGAATTTAGCATCAAGCACATGGAGCTCAGGACCTAGTGTGTAGCATAGGACCTGAAGGCCAGAATCCAGAACTCAGAATGAGCCTTAAGAGAAGCCTCCCCAGTTTCTCTATTCCCCAGTTTTACTGCCTGCCTTCAGCCAACCAAAATTTTTGGAGCACCCAATGACAAGCTCTGTAGAAGGTGCTGAGAGGCAGCTAACAGGAAATAAGCAGAGGGAGGAGTGGTTTCCCTCTCTCAGCAGTGTCAGGTCCAAGACAGCAGGGACTGTGTCTGCCTTATCATTCTTGTATCCTCATTGCCTTTTGTGGGCTTGTAGTAGGTGCTTTCCGAATGTCTGTTGAATAGATTCATTCATTTTTCCCACTAATGTATATTGACCCTCTTTGTTCTAGGCACTTGGGTTAAGGATAAAACACACCAAGATCTTGCTCTGGTGAATCAGCTGTCTCTGGCACCCAGGAAACTTTTGGAGTGTAAGAGGCTGTTTCTGACAAAGAGCTGGGGAAGGCTGTGGTAGGGGTGGTAGGATGGTGTTGAACAGAGAGGGGTAACATCCAGGAGGAAGAAAAGGTCGCTGGCTGGCTATGGCAGTCCCAAGTTCAAATTTACTTTAGAGCAGCAGAACCAAGCTCAGAGGCTTCTGTTCCTGCAGCTTCTCTTCCCTCCTCCATAAAACAATGAGCTCCTAACAATGACTCCCACTGCCCA